GTACACACACACACACACACGCACACACAAACACCACACACACACACACACACACACACACATGTTCGTTTAGTACCTTAGCTCTGCCAGCTTCTACCATTTCTATAAAATGTTCACTAGTGAGTGGTACCCACGTGGAAATAAACGGCCATTCGGGCGATTCCCTGAAAACGTGGTGCACATATATAGGACAGGGTACTAATTGAAGGTATGCAGTGCGGGATCAGAAGGCCCTGGGTAGCTGCGCCAGGCGCGTTGGAGCATTCTAGTAACATCATTAACAGCGAATACCCACGCTCGAGCACTCTTGGCTTTCTTAGTGTTAGTTTTGCATTTTGTTAATTTTGCCCGTTTTTATTATGTCTCCACATCGGCACACTTATTCACTTTTGCTACATTAGCACTGCCAGCTTCTTCACAAATATCAGTTTCTCTGCGTTCTTCGCATTTGTTTTACCTTTTTCTGTACAACTGTTGTTTGCTGTATATGCATTTTATTGAGTTTCTGGTACAGCCCACACCTGTCACTTTGTTCTGTTGGCTTGACGAATTGCCCAATGGCTTTTTCATGGTGCAGTTGCGTATGTATCCAAGCAAAATCGAGACCGCACTGAAAGTAGAATGTCGCAGCGAGTTTCAGCCTCGCACTTTATCCGGTAAGCGAAATAGCCACTTCGCTACAAATATCTTTGAAGTGCCCTAAGTCGTGGCACAAGTGCAAATCGGAACTCGATTTAAGTATATTGCGTATGTGTGTGTTCAACATTAACACTTTTCTTTCCAGTTTCCTGAATAATGATACTGAGGTGGGCATTGGCCGTGTTGCTCTTCTCCGGTATCACAACGGGGAGCAATCCGAGCAGAAGGCAGACATCCGCCGATGAGACATCCGAAGTTTATGATGCAGACGATGAATCGGATGAAAAGGTACAAAATTGCCATTTCTTGTCTTTTCATGCTAAACCTCTTCTCTACTAGCACTAGAGCTATCTGTGTTCTGTTGAATGACATTTTTATTTCAAGTTATTTGGATCTTATTATCTCATGGTCTTCAGTTATGTAGTCAGCAACTTCTCCAGTTGTTTTCAATAGTACTGTCACTCCCCCCCCCCCCCCCCCCCCCCCCCCCCCCCCC